TGGTTTCTGTCCCTGCGCTAACGTCGCTCAGTGTTTAGTTTTACGTCAGCATTGTCTCGTCACCCTCCTGTTTCCCGTTCTCTGATTACCTCATGTGTTTATAAACACTCTTCCCTCCCTTCAGTCTTTGTTTTAGTGTCTGTTTGTTTTCCCTCATGTGATTTCTCTGAGTGTATTTTAGATTTACCAGTTTGTTGCCTTTTTTTTAGATTTTTCTTAAACGTTTTGGATCAGCAGTTTAACTTTGTACTAAAGCCCAAAAATTAAAGTTTTTTTTGTTGTTGTTTTTTTCACTCCTACATCCTCCATTATTAAGATCAAGTACCGAATGATTAGTCCTGTTGCTTCCTAATCTCTATCAAACACCTGGTTTGTTTTAAGCATGTGTGAAAAGGGCTTCTAACAGTTTCCTCCTTTCACGTGGAGCCAAATGGAAAACCCAAATAAGATCAAATAAAGGTGTATTTATAAAAGTTTTACTCACTTCTTTTTCCAATTTTACCCTCATTGGTCCTGATCGCTGCTTTGTCCAGTTTGGTGACGATGTCCTCGTTCACACCAGAGAGCTGAAACACACATCTGTATCTGTGCCAGTCTTCAGGTTTCACTGATGAGACATCCAGGTCAACACTCATCTGGAAGGTCCCATCATGGTTGGAGAGGATCTCTCCCATGTTCACACCTTCATGAATCTCCACTCCATCTTTTTTCCAGATCATCTCGGCTCTGTCAGGATAGAAACCTGTAGCATAGCAGCTGACTGGAGAGGAGGAAGACTTCTGGAGGAGAGACACTGAGGGAAGCTCTGAGGGATTTAAAAAATAAAAAAAATAAATCACAGTTCATACTGAGTTTACCATTTTCATTTGATGTATTTTGAATGTTTTAGACACACAAATTAATATAAATGCAGTTTAAAGAATAATTAAGAAAATGGTGGAATTACAAGAAGTACACAACTGAGTGAAGGGAGTGCTGTAAGAAGCTGCAGCGATGGTGATTAGAAAAGTAAAATAAACAGAAACTGGGAAAAATAAAAAGCGTAAATGTGATAAAGTGGTAATAAATGTATGAGAAGATCAGGATGTGGCTTGTTAATGAAAAGTATTACAATAAATCAGGTCATGTGATTTTACCTGTCCTCGTCAGAGAGCTCCTCCCATAGTTCACGTACTTCTTCAGCCACTCAGGACAAATCTGGGTGTGATAGTTCCTCAGATCGCCTAAAAGAGATCTGTCTCTGTCCCACTTGAGTTTGGTGATTACAGCCTGCATTACTGGAGCGATCCATGTCTCTGTCCTCAGGTCAAATGATATGAAGTCTTTTCCATCATAGCCATACTGATGATAGCTGTTAACTTCAGCCGTTTCATCGTCCCATTCACAGCCGTACATCATCTGGTTAATGTGAACACCTGAAACCAAGAGGAGTATGAAATAGTTGATATTTGCCCACAGATGAGGGAGTTAGGTTGAAGAGCTTCAATAAAAACTACATAAATACACATAATCAGCTTTTTAAATTTGGCTGGTTAAGCTTCCATTAAGGGCGCTAACAAGCTAGCTTGTGTCTGTAATAGAGTTGGATGCCTCGAGACCACTTTTACGTGGTCTTGGTCTTGTCTTGGTCTCACTGTCTCATATCGACATAGTGATTGTGTACCCATGACACACAAACCAACGTTTGATAATGTGTCGTGCACAAGAGCATCAGCCCTAAGAGCCGTGCTTAGAGAGTGCTTTGTAGTGAATCAGAAGAGTCGACTCCCATTGAGCGAGAGCCGGCTCCTCACTT